CCTGGGTTCAGATAATTGATGTCTTCAAAACAAGCAGTCAAGAGCAGAGGAAACTCAGGTCCACTCTGTTCTACCAGTTACACCTCCATGGGCTTTGTTTCCCTAAGATTTTTTGTGTGATATCTCTGGTTGCAGCTTTTATTCACTGTATAGATGTTGACTGCAATTTGAATTATGCCATCTCAGTGATGCTGTCTGGATGGAACTGAGAATGTACCTTATGTTGCATATTCTTGCACACAGTGGCTGAAGATTGGGAAATAGAATAGTTGTGTAGATATAATTTCTGTGTGCATCTGTGTACACTTGCCATCTAAATGCCAGTATTTTCTTGCTTTTAGTCTATGTTCCTCAACTTTATTGAATTTGTATTCTGAATACATACGAACATTACTCTGTACCTGGAAACCTTTATATTTTGAAGTATTTTTCAGGCTTTATATTTTTATATTTTTAACTAATGCACTTCATAGAAGTTTTTGAGTTTTTTGAGAAGTTCCTAATCTCCACCTGCCATTCTTCCAGATGAAACATGTTTCTTTAAGTGAAAATCCTCTAACTTCACTTGCAAGAATAAATGGGGGATGCAGAAGCTGTCTGAATTGAACTTCCAGGCATTTAGGCACATAGGACTAGTCTGCTGCCAACTACATTTTCCATTTCAAGTTCATGGTTTTGTTTCCTAAATCCTACTGTTCTACTTCATTGACTTCTTGCAGTATTTCCAGTCTGATTTTAGCAAACTGAGTTGTGGAACAAAGTCTTGCCTTTGTTGTGTCTGTAATACACTGGACAACTTCTTGCCTTAGATTAGAAACATCCTAAAAGCTGAGTTTCTTTCTGTGTAGTTCTACTACCGCTGTGCAGAGAACAGCAGCATTAGGTCCCTACCAGTTTGGTGTGAGGCAGAGTTACATTGGTTACAATTTTGTGGATCTTGTTCACCTGTTTGAGCTGTATTTGATTTTTAGATTATTCAATCTCTGTGCAAAGATTGCTGATAATGCTTTGGTCATACAGTTATCCCATTGTCAGATGACACCAACTGAGAAGATTTTAGACTTTTAAAGTGAATATTTTTATTCTTATACCTTACACATTCCCAAGTGTGAGCTACAGTAGGTCCTAGGTTGTTATTAAAAAGGTGTATTTGTGCATTTATATTATGCAATGCTGGAATAATTTACTGGATTCATAGCCATAAAAAAATAAAATTAGTTGTCTGTTAGCTGAAGGAACAAAATAAGAGATGTGAGACGTTTATGTACCTATTAACTCGTAATGGCTAAAGGGACAGAGAGATACCTTAACACTGAGTTAGTGTAGATTGATCATAGATAGCACAATGGGATTGCTTGAGGTGAGAGTAAAACCACCTTAGTCTCCATATATAACTGCAGAAGAGATATAGGTTGCTATTGGAAATTATTCAACTTTAATTACCTGCCTGGAAAAGGCCAGGTTGCTCTTTCCATTTTTTACACAGAGAACTAGTAGTGGCTATAGACTTGTGTGTATGACTCAGTCGTCACTGAGAGAAATACAAGCTTTTACTCCTACTGTAACCAATCTTGCTAGGATTATAGGCTGCTCTGGCAGGAGCTTTCAAATAATTTCCTTTCCAATTGTTTCCATCCTTTTTTCTACTCCTTGTTCCACTTCTACTTAACCCACCTAGAGTCACAGAGTCATAATATAATTCAGGTTGAAAGGGACCTTGTGAAAACTCTAGCCCAATTCCTTGCTTAAAGCTGCGTTAAATGTTAGGTCAAACATTTTTTCCAGGTCTTTATCCATTCAGGTCTTGAAACCCTTCAAGTATGCAGACTGCACAGTATCTCTAGGCAGCTTGTTCTGCTGCTTGACTGGAGTCAGAACTATCTCTGGTTTAGTTTATTAATATTGTGTTTTTTTATTATTTTTTTTTCCCTTTTTTTTTTTTTTAATTGCTCCATAAAGAGCTTGGCTCCCCTGCTTGGTAATCTCCTTTTAGGAATTGGAATGGTGCTGCTAGAACCCCCAAAACCTTTTTTTTCAGTCTAAGCTAGCCCAGCTGCCTCCTTTCTGCTTCTTACAGGGCACATTCAGACCCAGTCATCCTGGTGATCCTCCAGTGGACTTACTCAAGGTTGTTCATCCCTTTCTGGTATTGCAGTGGACATATTATTCCCAACTGGACATAGTTATCCAGATGTGGTCTAAAGATTGCTGAGTAAAGGGGAATATTGTGAGCTTCTTGTGAGCTTGAAAAATACTATAATTCAGGATCTAGGAAGAAGATGAAATAAAACTGGAGCCTCTTTAGTTTTTGCTAAATCTGAGGAAAATGCTCTGTTCTCTGCATCAGAGCTGCCTGGCAAGCCTTGTCATCCTTGTCTAAGAAATCCTTTCTCTAAAAAATGTCAGCATATTTCTTCCTTTGTTTTTCTTTTCTTCTGCAAGGATATATAATACCTGCAAAAATAGTTTTTGGTTTTGGCAATAAGTTGCAACATGAAAAACAAATAAAAGCTTAATAAAATGGAAGGGTAGACAAAGTATATAAAAATGAAAAGAATGTCAGCAACTGACTCCCTACAGAAAGTCTTGACTCAAAATTTCTGATGCAAGGGCTAATGGAATTTAGTTGCATAGTAATAACAACATTATGGACTTACATCAATTACCATAAAGTTCAGGTGGGGATTTGCAGACATCTGAAGCACGACAAGCAAAGTAACTGTCTTCTTTCTCTTAGAGAGATTTTTTTTTTAGACTTGTGGTTGGGAGCAGGCTTGTTACCAGGATTGTGGCATTTTATAGCAGGCCTGAGAGCTCACTGCTGCAGAGGGTATGTTGAATTTCTCACATAATGGCTCTGCTGGAGGGACAGGAACAAGTTTGCTAAACACAGAGATCACAAGGATTACTGGGTATCAAATAAACCCTAGGAGGGCTATATGCCCTCAGTTAACTACTGCCCACATCCCTTTTCTTGCTTCTCTCACATGCTTGCTGGGTTTGGGTTAGCTTAGAAATGTCCCACTCCACCTCCTGTATCTCCTATACCAATGAATGTCTCCAGCTGAGTGAAAGGGAAAACTCTGGGATGCTGATGAAGTACAGGTAAATAAATAAGCCTGTTTCTTTCTCATATTCAAAACAATAATGGGTGAAGCATAAATGAATCTTTCTTTCTGTGATTGTTAGCAGGAACACAGATACCAGAACTCACATTTCTTTCTGCATGTTGGTACTGATCAGATGCTGTGGTGATGTTTTAAAGAGACAGGACAAGACAGATCCATGCTGCAACATTTATGCTTGCTAATGCTAAAAGCCTAATTCCAGGCAATAAGAGCAAAGAAGCTCCTTTTAGAGGATTAATATTAATATGTGAATGTTGTGGTGTAATGTGTTTTCTTTAGTGCAAATATTCATCATTACATATTCTGCATATTTTCTGGAGTCATGATGAATTAATATTTTAGATAAAAAATCCCTCATTTTTAGGCAGATCTTGCTGTCTTTTTCTTCCTCCCTTTTCCAACCATCCCCTTACTGCCTAGATGTCTAATATGGCCTTTTTATTGATCTTTTTCCTTTTCTCATCCCTGATGTTGTCCTGTGGCAGTGTAGTCCTCTCTAGCACCAGCTGCTATAACTGATGGTTTTGTCATATAGCTCAGAAAACCTTGTGCTCCATTACAAGGCTCATAATTTAAAATTAGGATGCTTCAGTGGTTGTGGACCAACATTAGCAAGTTATGCTAGGAAATTTTTAATGTAACAGCAGAAATCCCTGTGCAGCTGTTTTAGGTATTGGAGTAGTTACAAGGTTGGTAAAGAAATATGGTAAAGAGATGCTAGAACTTACTGAAACAAGAGCACAACTCTGACTGATGCTGCTCTCTTCCTATATTGTGCTCTTGTCAGCCAAATAATGACAATACTGAGTAAGAGACCTGAGGGACTGATACTGGACAGTGATTCAATAAAAGTACAAGAACACATATAAACCTGACTGTTATATATCAGGTTTATTAATTAAAATGACTTGAATTCATCCTGTGTGTGTCTAGCTCTGGACTTCTCATTATCAGAGAGACAGGCACATGCTGGAGAGAGTCCAACAGACGACCACAAAGAACTTTAAAGGCCTGGATCATCTTTATTACCAGAAAAAATGCTGTTCAGCCTGGAGAAGAGAAGGCTCAGGGGGAAACCTATCTATGTGTATAAATACCTGGTGGGAGGGTGAAGATGGAGCCAGGCTCTTTTCAGTGACAGGACTAGAGTCAGTGGGCACAAGCTGAAACATAGCTGGTTCCTTCTGAACGTTGGGAAACACTTTTCTACTGTGAGGGTGACTGAGCACTGGCACAGGTTGCCCAGAGAGGTTGTGGAGTCTCCCTCCTTGGAAGTATTCAAAAGCCATGTGGTCATGGTCCTGGGCAACTGACTCTTGGTATCCCTGTGTGAGCAGGGGGGTTGGATATGATGAACTCCAGAGATCTGTTCCAATCTAAGACATTCTGTGATTTTTTGTTCTTTTCTCAATAATAAGAAACTTTTAAGGAAATCTCTGTCCTTCAATGTAGTTCTCATAAAGCTAGTGAGGAAGATATGCAATTGAAATAAACTATAACATCTTGCAATCTGAACCTGTTCTGAAGAGGAAAAGCAGGCTGCACCATCAGGGTAAAAATGATAGTTGTTTTCAGCTTCAAAACAAGCGAGTGAACATTGTGGTAGCTACCTGCTAATGCTGATATAAATAGTGGAACTGCAGCTACCAATGGGACATTTGATAGCTGTTCATTAGGGAGAGTAAAGAGGCTTGTTTGGTTGCATCATTATATTACACAGAAAAAGACTGCTTTCGTGATAGCAGGGCACTGATGGAGAGTCAAGGGGTTATTTGCAGGAGATAAGGTGAATCTGAAAAAGAAAACGAAACTGCTGAAAATAAGTTTTGTTGGTTTTTTTATTTATTTGTCTGTCTTTTATTCTTCAAACAGTGGAAGCTCTACATTTGGGAACACTGATGGCAGCACATGGCTATTTCTTTCCAATCTCAGACCATGTTCTAACACTAAAGGATGATGGCACCTTTTATCGATTCCAGGTAAGCGTCTTCAATATGTTCTTGACTTGCACAAATGGAGTCTTATATTAAAGTTCTTACATAAAGGTTCATAGCAAATTTTAACCATACTTTGTCTATTATGTAACCTAGTAAATGGTGGCAATTCCCCTTAAAGTAAAAAGTGGATGAAGGGTTTTATTTTGAAATTAAGTCAGTAAAGTGTTAAGATGATAGTGACCCTGGAAAAAGTGTGATAATGCTGAGTGTGGAAGAATCTCTCATGAAATAAATTAACCTAGCATTTTTGAAATATAGTGAAAGAAATTAAATTATCTTATTGACTTCTTACTTCTAACATAGTCTTAATTTGGAAAGGTGGAGGTATTTTACTTATAAAGTCTATAGCAGAAATCAGATCTGAAAGAGAGGGTAATCTTTATATTCTTTCTTAGGTAAGGATTTGCTTATTGGTAACAGTAATACTGAAGTACTGTATATTCTTGCAACATGTGCAGGCACGTTTCTACATTAATCTTTCAGTCCTATTGCATACAACAAACATGCAGATGCTTCAGAACAAGCTGGAAGGATGTTTTTATATGTGTATGTATATCTATATTATTGAGATACGTATACAGTTGTATTTTCTTACATTAGATTTCAAACTACAGGCTTGGGGAGCAGGAGCGTTGCTGTTCTAATAATGAATAGCAGGCTAGAAGTTTGCACAGCAATACCAGCTATGACTTGAAACAAATATATTTTCACAGTATCAGATTACATAGTCTAGAGCAGGAATTAATTTTGCCATGTGCCACCTTTAACAATGGTGTCTGTTCTGTATTGCTCTTCCTATTAGGTGGTCTTCCTGATAAGTATCACCAATAGCTTCTCTGTGGTCTTGCCCAGATATTTGTTGCTTTGAAATGATAATATAATTATCAATATGACATTGATTATATCAATATCATAGTTTGGTAATCCTGCTTTGTTCTAACTTTCCTAAATACTCACAGAAAAATATTATCCAGTAGAACAAAATATATTATCTTTAAGACAAAGTGTAATCTTTGTCTTAAACCTTGTTTAAATAAGAAGCTATCAAGAATAAAATAAAATTGAAATAGTGGTCCTTAAAATGCAGAAGAAAACTGTGATACATTGAAGACCAATCAAAGTATCAAACATTGTATTATATTAATTGCTGTACAGTACTTTAATCAATATTTTGGCTTGAGTTCTGTAGATTGTACAAGGGAAGAGAATGGGTCACAGTGTTTAGTCTGAAACAAAATGTTAGAGTGATTAGAATTAAATACGTACAGCTTGTCTGGCAAGAAAGAGAATGATTATTGCATATATACATACAGTATTATTATATTTTCATATGTCGATTCTGGGGGTCTATCAGAGCAAAAAATCTGTCCTTCAGCAGAAGAGTAATTTACATGTGTATATGTGTAATACAAACAGCAGTCACTCCAAGCCTCCTTCCCTAGATCCAGATACCTTTGATCCTTGGGAGAGGATGTGAAGGAAAGGGTTTTCTTCTCGTGGTGCTTCATCCTTTTCATTTAAAGAAGGGAGAGATGGCATATGGCCGAAGGGGTTTATTGCAGCAGGAAAGACACTGATGTGGTTATGAGGTAAATGAAAAGTGGAAAAAAATCACAGAGCAGTTGAGGCTCTAGATCTTGGCTTGTGTCTGCATAAGCAGCAGCCAGAAGAACAAAATATCTGAGAACTTCATTTTGCAGAGAATAGAATTTATCTATAGGAATGCTGGTAATTTAAGTCTGCTGAGCTGCTTGCCTGCTGCTATCTCAAACATGGGAAATGAGCACCTCTGCTGGCATGATAATTTGACTGAAGGAAAGTATAGAACAGATTAGAATTAGCTGCACTGTGAACAACTGAGATTACCACAGCTACCCTGCTGAGGGCTTTCCTGAGAAAGGTCTGCAGCCTACATGTTTGGACCTGAAGCTTCAGTGGTGGTTAGACTGCAAAATTGTATCAGTTGATATACGTAAGGTAAGGATTTGGTACCTATTTGACATATGGATAGGAAATAAGATAATTTCCTCAAATGATGCTCAATTTATATATGCAGTATTTTGGTTGTTTGCTACTCTGTGGTACCTTTTTCATTGCTATTCATATGCTAGCAATGTTAAAACAATGCAATTTTAGCTGTTTATGTATAGCATGAGAAAAAATTCATAGTGGTGTCATACTGTTAGCTGAAGTTGTGTCAGCAAAATTTGTGTCATTACAATTCCATATTCCCCACTGAAATAAGACTAATACAAAATTTGTTTACTGTAGCTATTAAATAAAACTACTGCTCAATAGGGAGGAAATTTTTACTGTAAATGTGTGGATTTTGGACTAGAATAATTGTTCAGGTGCTTTGGAAATAGCACCCCGTGAGTACTGGACAGGATTCGCAAATTTCTGGATATTTTACTAGAAAGAGAAAACCCTGCACCTGCCAGCACTGAAAAGTTCGGAAGCCTGCAGAGAAGTGTCTGTGCAATAGAAAGACCCAACTTACCAAAAACAGGCTAGCTACAATAATGTTCTCCCTGCACCTCATTTTTTTGTTTTCCAAAGGGTGACTTGTTCCCTTCTTACAGTAAAATTACTTCCAGCTTGTTTTAAACAATCCTGTTGTATAGAAATAGCTAAAAGCAGTCATTATTGTGCTTCATTTCCTTAAAAGCCCTTTTACAGGCAAAATTATACTTTATCAGCTATTACTCTTGCCATCAGGAGGGCTGTAAAATTGTAGTTGCACGTGCTTTTTTAAATAATATGGTCTTAGAAGTAAAAAATAATGCTGGATCATTCTTTGACCTACTCAGGTGTAATTAGGTTAGTTTCTGTGATAGCAATTCAATTCAAAGGGAATGGATCTAAATATTAATTGCCTTACTCAGAGAGAAGTAATTTTTTGTTAGCCTTAACAAGGCACTGCAGAATATTTAAGGATAATGTTATTTTCTGAACCATCCCAAACTGCTGCATAGCTTTTGGTAATTTAAGCTGTAGACCAGAGAACAATCTGAATACCTGCTAACTCTCCTCTACCTGAAAGAAAATATTTTTGAGGAGCCCAAATAAGGAAAGCAAGGTACTTCCAAAGCAGGTCTTGGCATCAGGCATTCTTCACTGAGACCTGTCATCCATGTCCATATAGGCGATAATGTCTGTCCTGGTGAGGAATGCCCTATTTACTCTCTCAGATGCTAAACTTCTATAATAGCCTCCCAGGGAAAGATGTGTTGTTTTCTTCTACAGATTGCACGTCCACACTAAATGTGTCAATATTCATGCTGAGAAAGAATGTTTCTTAATACCTAGTACAATCTCCTAGGATACTTGTGGAATGTAATAATCATATTGCCTTTTTTTTTTTTTTTAGATTAATTTCTGTTCTAATGTAAATTAATTTTCTGATATGAAGTTTAGCTTCTGCTGTTGTTTTTGTAGCTTTTAAGCTGAAAGGCATAAATAGCTGAGAAAAAGTGTGAAAATGGGAACAAAGTTCCTAGAGAAAGCTTGAGTCTGGTGAAGATAGCAGCAAAACACATGGATTTTGTCAAGACAAAAATTTATTTGGTGATGTCTTCTCCTGTTCTACCACTGGGAACATTTCCTTGACAAAAGCATTTAACTTCTCTGGCTTTGTTTTTCCGTGCCTGAAATGGGAATTGCTGTACAGCAATCACTGTAAAAATCTTCTAATATTTTTGCTGAACAATAGTTTAGAGTGTGAAGTGTTGTGGATCTTTGTGTCTCAGGTGGAATTACATGGCTTCCCACATCACTTATGTCAGCCCTGCTCAGGTGGTTACCTCTTGGCTCAGTCCTGGCCTCTGGGCTGGCCTCTGACTATTCTGAATACTGAGGCAGTGGTTGAATGTCACAGCTCCTCCAGCCACTGTCCACAGCCTCACTGGATCATCAACTCTGCCTTGAGGGAAGGGTTTTATTGGAAGCCAGATTTTAGCAATTAAAAAAAACTAACAAACCCAAACAAACAAAACAAAAAAACAAACAAAAACAGGTTATGCTGTTATGCTATCCAGCATTTGGCAGCTTTTTTTAACTTTTTTTTTTTTTTTTTTAATTGCAGGTGCAAGGAGTAATTCACTGTCTCTCAGCTCAAGCTCAGCATAGACGGGGTCTGTTTAGGTTTCACAGAGGGAAAAACCATTTCAAATCCATGTGTCTTTCTGACTACCCTTTTGGTGTCCTTTTTTCTTTTTTAACTCCCTTGTCATTCAGACTTCCTCCCCACTGCTTTCTGTGCTCATCCCCTTTCCAGGGTAAAGAGGAGTCACAGAGCCAAAATCTTTCTTGTTTCCAACTTCCTCATTCTCAGTTTTAACAATTATGATCTAATCATGGAGAACTACTTGCAGGCCTCTTTCCTCTATGGGCTCAATAGTGCTAGACCAGTGATCTTTCCACTTTCATTTACCAGGAGATCATTTGAGTCAACTGCAGTCAATCAAAACCTGAATGCCCATGAATTCTGCCATCTATCATGCAAGGCATTTGGGATTTTGTAGAACAATTTTTTAGCAAAGACTTGATTTCTGCTGTTTTTAAATGCTCCCTGGTGCCTGTGAGAACAGCAGCAATATGCAAAGGAAGGTTTATGAGTGCTTAGAATATTCCTCCCCCATCCCAGTAATTAGATTTTTAAAGATTTCATAGAGTGGAGCAGCTTCAGAAACAACAATTCTTATCAACAAGGGGTAGCTGAAAAATGCTTAATGATTTTCCTCCTCAGTAATACAGTTTAATGCATAGAAATTAATTATGTTTTATAAAAGCTGATGGCAACACTGATTTTTACAAGTGGCTGTTTCATTAGCTCAGATATTATTATTGATTAATTTTATGATGGTGACAAAGTAGATCTATTTGTTTTATCACAAGACATAGCAGCCACTACTGCCAATTGGTTTAGTGCAGCATTTATGCTATATTACAGGATTTTGTTTCATATGACTTTATTAACAGGAGGATTATGGATTTCTGTGGTTAGGTTTACCTAATGATATGAGCCTTAACGTGAGGGAAACATTATTTGTTTGTGTAATGCAAAACCAGTTTTCCGTCAATGGCGTAAAGACCCTTGTGACAGCCTGTTTTGTTCTGGATGCTTAAGTGGCTCCACGATCACATGTGCAGTGCTACGTAAACCTTATTTCTCTAGCTGCTGGCTTCTGCTGGCTGCTTATTCAAATTACAGATGCCATTAAAGAAAGTATCTTAAAAGTGTACTCATAAAAACTGGCAGCAGTATTTCTGCCTGTGCTGATGAACAGTACTTGACTCTGCCCAAACCGTTCTACCACCCACCTTCCTTCCGGCTATAAGTGGGATGTCATGGCAAAATGACAAATTGTTCCCTGTTTAATACTTGTTCATGACAAACTGCTTCACATTTCCTTGTAAGGAAAAGCAAAATTCTTAAGTATGACAATTCAGCTTTTCTGTATTTCTAATATTTTTATATTTTCTCTATTTAAAAAAAGACCTCCACAAACCTTGATATTTCATAATGTTCTCTTTGAAAGAGGTGGTGTAGAGGCACATGTCCACACTCTCCTGGGGAAAATCTTCACTTATCTAGGGTTTCTAGGTAATTAAACATAGGTGACATAATATTTGTGCTACAGGAATACATGGTATCTGAAGGGATGTTATAATTCTTCTACAGTGTATTTGGCATATATGAGTTGTAAGTAATAGTTAAACCAAGATTTGTTTGCATAGTCCTGATATAGAGAAGATAATTTACACAGGCAGAGCCTGCTTGTATTGCTGTGGGAGATTTTTAGTATATCAGATGAGAGCAAGGCAGCTTTCTCCTTTGCACGCACTTCCTATTCTCATTCCTGACTTCATTCCCTGAGACCACAGGTTTTCTTTCTGAACTATTCTTTCCTTGTTGAATGAGGCAAATCTCTCATTCTTCATGGATAACCTCTCCAGCAAATTCTTCTAAGGTACTGGACTGTGAAATTGCATGGAGACTTTTGGAACAGAAGTGGAAAGGTGTAAATTCAGCACATACATTATGGACGTGTGTTACGTGATTAAACGGTTTGAGGTCTGTGATACCGAAGGGAAAAAGTAAACTTCAGACTCCATTTGTAGGTAAATCAGGTTTGAGGAGTCAAAAGTTCCAAGTTTTTATGTCTGGGACCTTGTGCCAGGTCAGTGTTAATTTGCCTGATTGCCGAGGCTGGCACAACAGATCTCTTTGTAGGTAGGAGCTTGTGAGGCACTGGGGCTGAGGAGAACTGCAGGCACGAGTGGCAGGGATACGCTCAGAACATGCCCCTGAAGAACAGACAGACAAGGGGCTGTCCAGTGCACTCAAGGGACAGCCTGAAAGGGAGGCCTTGATTCATGTTTCTTCAAAAGCTTAGTGGAACATTCTAATAACTGAATTGTACTATCACGGGAGTCATGGAATGCACTTTCTTCCTGGGTCTTTTCTCAGCCAGGAGTGACATTGTTCAAGATTTACAATTTGTCAAGGGGAATTCAAGTTTACATGTGTACATGGCACATAGCTAAGTAGATTAAGACCAGAACTTTATGATTGTCAATAGAAATAATTAGGCAAGAAAATGTGGAATACACCTTTGGGAAAATATAAATCATTTTAACTACACAAGTTTGTTGTGGATGTATTTTTTCCATACAATCACAGCACTGCAAAAATCCTAAACTGATTTTTTAAATCATGCTTTATTTTCAGTATCTACATTTGTTAAAAGATTTTTTCTCTATGTTTTTACTGACTTTCTGTCTAAGTATTAATCCTGTCCTGTGCCCCTATTTTTTGTGCCTGGTTTTAGGAGAATTTTCCCTGTCTCTACCCCCACCAATGCCCTTTCCTGCTTTAAAAGTGAATTGTAGTTACATACTCTTTGAATACAACTTTATCAACAGCTTTTGCTGCTTTTTATCACATACCTTATGGTGATATAATTCTATATTTATTAGAAAGAAAGTAATGTAGGACACAGCCTTGGTCAAAATACATAGCATCTACTGTTTATTTCTCAGGTAGTAGGGACTTTACACTCTCAGTGATCTAGTGTTTTAGTAACCTTTAGATTTTAGGGATTCCGAAATGTATAGTGTATTACAATTGTTTAATCTAGACACTAGATCTGGAAAGATTAGAATACAGAAAATTGTAGCTTTTTCTCTTTTCTGAAAAAGGTAGATCTTCCCCTTGCTGCACTCTTCTGAGGCTACTCTGTCATATGGGATTTTTATTTTTTTTAATAGCTGCCCATATTTCAAAGGTTGCTTGAATTAATATTTTTCCTGTGTATAACTTGTCCTCCTTTAACTTGCACTCCTTCATGCATCATGCAGATAATCCAGTGTTGATACTTCTTACCAGTTAGATACTAGAGTGACAGAAGAGAAAGAGAAGTAACAGAGCAAAAATTTAGTCATAATATTTACACATGCATATAACTCACAGTGCTGAGGACACAGCAGTCATTTTCAGTTTGGTGAGACTTTTTTGTTTTCTACAAATAAATGCAGTTTACCCAGATGAAAACACAATAATTCCTAAGTGTTCTGTGCTGAATTTCATCAGGCCTCTAACCTGAACTGTCTGACCTCACATAAATATTTTTCTGCTCCTTTTTTCCTCCCACCCCCGTACTTTGCTCTGCGGTCCTATCTTCATGTCAAAATTAATTTTGGGCATGTTTGCAGAGCTGATTGCAGGCAGACTTGAACTTTGTCCCCACTGGGAGCCAGCTGGCTGGAGGCCATCTCTGGCCATGTTGCAGTGCTTGAGCTGATGAGCTGTACTTCTCAGCAGGTCCTGCTAAATGCATCTGAACACCACGCAGGCAGGGTCACTGCATCCAGTTCAGAGGCAGCTTGTGCCTGCCCCAGTTCTGAGCATCAGCAAGGGGAGCTTTTGCCTGTGTGTCATTCCCTAGGCAGAAAGACCTTTATCTGGCTACAGCTTCCCTCCTTCTGGAGCCTTAAACAAGGAAGACATTTAATAATAATCTGTACTAAGTGTTATTTGAACCCCTTTTTGTAATATTTGTTTTTGCTTTGGTTTCTTTTTGGCTGACCTTATAACCCTAACTGCATCCTTTTTCCAGAAGCTTGGCTTGAACTTAAGCAGAGGTTGAAGTCACAGCAGGGAAATTATGTAGTTGCATTTTTCTTCTTGGGCCTCTCCCAAGACACAGTATATGCCTCTAAGGAATAACTCCGTAGGTTTGGAACCTGTATATTTAAATGATGGTGACTTTACACTTTTTAAGATTGTCATAGTGAAATTACTTTAATAGCTTCTTGCTTCTCCAGGATACGCTGAGTGCTGCCAGTCATTGTTTAGCAGTTCCTCCTCTTCTTTCCATTCATGCTTATACTGTTAACTTTGATTTCAGTGGCAATGTGGAAGAATAATTGATAGGGGAATCACTTAGTGCTGCTCCCTTACAGAGCACAAAACGGCTTGCAGGATGCATGTCTCAGCCTTTGGTGAGGTTAGCTTGAGAGTTTCTTTTTTACCCTTGAACTCATTGCTGTTACTTGATACATAGCAAGTTCTAAACCACTTCTATTAAAGTGGTCGTTGTTACAACAGGGGGAGATTTTTCACACTATATATTTAACCTAACAGTAGGTGTGAATGTGTCACCTTTCAGCCCTATTGGTTTCCGTATTAACATTAAAACAATTTTGAGGGAAGTGCCTGGCAGGAGAGGTTTTTATTTTTACTATTGGAAGACTGTTCAGAAAAAAACAGTAAGAAACAGTGTAAAGCAGAAGTTTTTCCTAAGCAAGCACCTGTGTTTTGAAACACTGCTCAGACTAGTCCACATACTTGATGAGATAAAATCAACTGCTCAAATAAGATATAATTCTCCTTGTGTGTGTGTGTGTGTATATATATATATAAATGTGGTATGTATAAAATACTATAATCCTTTACATTTTAATAAAAAATATCATCTAAAAATAAGTTATTTGTATGAAAAATACCAATATGGTCTTATAGTCTTCATTTGGTTGAGGAGAATTATTTTAATAATGTATTTAGCACATTTTTAATAAGCATAGTATTGAAATGGTTATTGATACTTTCATTTGCTTTCAATTTAATTTAAAAAATCACATTTTAAACCACAATTGGTAAACAATTATAAAAAAAATAGACTTCAACAGATGAAAAGAATTTTGATAACTTGGTGAAAACAAGTTGTGTTTAGTGGCATTTTTAAACAAATAACTCCTAAGAAAGAGTATTGAATATTAAAATGTACTAATGAAAACTCTCCAAAATCAAGAAAGCAATGTACCCCAATGTGTCTTCTGTCTAAAACCAATTCTTGAGGACATTTTTGTTTGCAGGTTTGTTGCCAGGGAAGATGAAAAAGATATCTTCACTACCTAACCTTGTGGTTTTTGTTCCCTGAACTTTAAGAATAAATAGAGCACTTTGTTCTTCTTTTTCACTGACATTCTGACACTACTGCAATAAACAAGCATAGAAAAGTAATATTCTCTTTTGATGCCTGTTTCAAAATGGTCACATTAACAATATAATAGATCTACGAAAAATGTAAATTGACTCTGAAAACCAGTATCAATCCAAGGACTGTATAATGCTTGTGTTATCTAACTTGAGTTCCCTACTTTTTTGTTTTGTCTATAGACACCCTATTTTTGGCCATCAAATTGTTGGGAGCCGGAAAACACAGACTATGGTCAGTGTAGAAATATTTCCTATTTCTTTTGGGAATTATGTATTATATGAATGAACATATCATTGCAGTCTGGTTTAATCATCCCACTGTTAAAAACAAAATTATATCGCATGTAATTCCTGTTCAAGAATTGCTGGTATTGGCATGAATGTGTTGTTGCTTTTTCTAAAGTTTATTAAGACAGGTTTGGAGTTGATTTGGGGAGGGGGGAGGGAGCTTCAAACCTGCCTTGTCATGTGCTGTTTTCTCCAGGAAGTGTTATTATTTACAGTGGCAGTCTCAGTGAAGCAGATGACATTTCAATGAAAGTTATGCAATAGTTATTCTCAGATTCAGACCCAAAGAAATGCCTATTTTTGATATGCACTATGTGGAAAATTATTTATTATGGAAGCTAATGATTCTAATATGAACTATATTAGAAAATACCTTGGTTTATTTGCTCACACCTTGGGTTTTTATTTATAAATTACACATTGTAATTACTGACGTGTGCTTAGACAGGAAAATATGAACATAATAGGTTGTAAAGTATTTTAAGAAATCATTAAAAATTATAGCCAGAATTAGGTGCCTCTGTATACAAAATAGTTACCTAATTTTTAAAGAAAATGGGTTATCTATGAGCAGTCCCCTGTTCATTCTAATCCAGACTGAAAGTATTCAGCTCGTCTGAAGATCAAGTCATTTGTGTAGGTAACTAAACGTACATGATAGCTTAACTTTTCACTCAAACTTTGAAAGCTTTTTGGAAACGAAGATGCATGTTGACTTCTGATATGGCATCAATCAGCCCTTGGGAGCTGAAGACTTCAGGAATTAATGGTTCCAATAGACTCTTCCTTCCTTTCCACAGCAGACACAGGTTAATTTCAAATACGTTGCTGAATAAAACAATTTCAAGCTGATCTTCTCAGCAGAGCTGAGCACCTTCAAAGTAGAGTTCGAAAATGGGGACATTTTTCCCATCCTATATAAGGAGAACAATGTTAATTTTTCTTTAAAATACTGAGACATCCACCAAATAGTGAAAGCTACAAAGGAGTAGTAATTCATGCCACACCTGAGTGATTAGGCACTTCATATGAGGGAATCAGTTGGTGAAGGAGAAATGCTTGATTTACCATTTATTACAGTGTTTTTCACTTCCTTGAAAGTATTATTTGCTTTTCTCAGAGGTGTACTTCAGTATAGTCTCCTAAGTTGCTAAAGATCAGAAAGTCATTTGCTATGGTTTTGAGACATTGAGTTATTCAGATGTAATGTATATTACAATACTAGGGGGATTTTAATAAATAAAGATATGCTTAACAAGTCTGAACTTGAGATCAGGTTGAGAAAATTTCTATTATATCCTTTAAATTAGGAGACACTAACTTTCTAGTCGTAGCTGATCACTGGATTGGGCAATGTATTTCATACCTTAGTCACTAAATAGAAATCTTATATAGTCTGTCTAGTTTTTGCATGCCAGAAATACAGAATTAAACTCAAGGTCAGTTTTTCATGATGTGTGGACGTGCCTTTGTTGGACAGTAAATGTACTAAATTCAGAGCTTTTTGGGATTTAAATATAAGACCTCTAACATATGTTTCAGTAAGTTAATTAAAGCTCTTCTGTTGCAATGGGGTGGAGAAAGGGAAGGCTCCAACCCTGCCATCTCATTGCTCCTTCCCAGTCATGAGCCAAAGGTACAAACCTGGAAAGAAACTCACCTGCAGCTTCCCCATGCAACAGGGTCAGAGCATTGCACTAGATCTACCTAAGGAGGCCGTGAGTTGCCAGAATTGGCTAATCTTAGAGCATTTGCAGGAAAAAAAAATAAAAATAAGACAACTTTTCAATAGTGTTCTTATTAGGTAAGCATCTTCCCAGTTCCAGAAATTAGCATTTGCCATGTGGCCTGAGGGTTTTTTCCCAATGCCTTTCTATGAATATAAAGAGAGGGCACATAAGGAGAGAACTGAGTACAGCTGCTTGCAAAACAAATCACATAAGTTGTAAACAGTTGCTGTCAGAGGAATACAGAAAAAGCAAACAAATAATATTCAAGAATGAAAAATAAATGTAAAGTAAGATTGAAGCAATTAGAGGATATTAAATGATAAATTCCACCTCAAATACATCCAAAGAGGCTCTGCAGATTCTCACAGTAATTCTGTTACTTCCTATAAAACATAATAAATAGAACTTATGTTATTACAGATATGCAAATGCATTTTGCACTTTTCACGTATTATGGTGCTGTGTAGTGGTTCCATTTTCATGGACTTGTCCTGAACAAGCTTGAAACTTCACTTCCTAAAACTAATGATTATGGCAGATATTAGGAATTTCTCAAGGCCAGCAAAAAGTAGGCTTCCTCTGCAATCTTCCTTTATCAAAGCTATTAAAAAAGCAAACCACTTTCTTTGACTTTGACCTAATTTTACAAGTCTTTGAAAAAACACTACAATTTTATTTTAATTTCAGACTTAGTCCCAACTATTTACCATTAGTGACCCATAACTGAGTTACTGTCGAGAGTGTAGCATACTGGCAAGAAAATAATTAATATTAAACTAGAAATTAAATGAGATTGAGATACTGCATATGTTATTTTATTACCAGAGCTATCTCAGAAAGAAATAGGCTTTATGTCTCTGTATAATATATGAGTATCTTTTCTAAAATGCCATTTCTTGTTTCATATGAACTTGTAATATCAAATATTTTCATTAACTAGATTTATCTGAAGAAAATGTGAAGAAAAAAGGCACAAAACCAGAACCTTCAAATATGTCAAGTGCAGCGCTAGGTGCGGGTGGCTAGAAGAGGGCTTTGATTAATTTATTGTATGTCAAAGTGCAATTGTGTAGCTTTTGGTTCTAATTGTAACAATCAAAACATTGATCACCTGATCATTCTGAAGTTACTGAGAGCCATTAATTTTCACAAAGTGCTGAAAGTGCTCCCTCTCTTTTTTATTGGTAATCATGCTATAAGTGATGCTATAAGTGATCCCTCAAAGAAGAAAAAGCAGGTTCCATCTGTTGAAGATACCTGAAGATATCTGTTTTAATGCCTTATTTCTTGGAGTCCACCCATGTGGGACATGTTGTTTCGTTCACTAGCCTGTTTTTATTTTATTTTATTGATGAAGTAAGATTTTGTTGATGAAGTATGCACAATACTAATACTAATTTATGGGCGGTTTTTTAAGGCTGATGTAGTTAAAACTGTGAGTTAAGTCCTATTCCTGACTTAAGACTTGTTTTTGTGACAGATAGAATTAGATCTCAGTTCAGAAAACTGGCTCTAGAAACAAAAGCAGCTGATGGCTGATCATATGACCTGCCTGTAACAATCTCTTTTCTTACTGATGAAATTTTCTAACTGACAATTTTTATTTTTATTTTTTCTGGCAGATAAAACCAGTTCCTGTCATTAAAATTAATTAAATTTGGAGACTTGTTAAGTCTGCTACATCTCAGAAAAGGCAAAATGAATGTCACATACAAAGCTTTTATTCCATATGCATTTGGCCTCAGTCCTCATGGGATCTGTCCGTTTTCCTTGGACGTTTAGTGACTCACAGCTCTTCCAAATTTGAGGAATTCAGTTCCTTACTGTTCTCTGGTTTGAATGAGAAAAATAAGAAATATGAAAGGTTAGGGAAAAATTCCATTTACAACAAAATAGCAACTATTTTTGTGTTTTAAAACCTCAAGCCTAAGCCTAAGCAAACAAATTAACATAGTTTTGACAATGTAAGAGATTTATAAAAAATTCAGATGTAGAAGATATGAAGAAGAATGTGTAACTTTTACTCATTTTCTCTAGTGCACTTTTGTTGATGGTTAGACTCAAAAGTGCCTGTGACATACAGATATTTTCTTACAGTTAGCTGCATATTAAAAAAAAGAAGTATGTTCAAAGGACAGACAGAGTAAAGTTTTGAAGTGCTACAGTCTTAAGACTTAGTGCTAAGCAGTTTCAGACTAATGCTAGAAGACAACTGTCAACTGCATCTATGTAGTTGCAAGATAATGCTGTTTTAGCCTTATAATCTCCTGTGTGTGCATTTCTCCCACGAGTTATAAATGGAGGAGGGTCACAGAGGAGAGAATAGTAAATAACTGATAATGCAATATGAGTCTAAGAGCACGTGACTATATTATCTGTAAATGATGCTAAATGAGATTTTCTCTATATTTAAAGCATATTCTTAAATTCTGCTGCTGCTGTGAAGGACAAGTTTTGAAAATATACATCTTTTCAGTAGCCTTCCAGGTAAAGTCATGTGCTGTAAACACAATTTTCTAGAAAATTAGAGCACTTGCAGGAACAATAAAGCCTTAATTAATTGCTCTCTTTAAAAGCGTGAGCTCCCTGTCTGGGTAAGCACTACCTATAAACTTCGATCGCAGTTCTATAAACATTCATGACTCTGTTACCCCATCTGAATTACAGTAAATTGAGACCGTCTACTTCTGCTGTGTAAAGGTTGTTGTCTCATAGCTGTTATTCTTCAGCATTTTTATGAAAGCAAAAGTCTGTCTTTTAAAAATGTTCTTGATAATCAGCGACCAGGTCTGTTCATACAAAGCTTCCTTCCTAATGATACCTTCTTACAGCTTAAGAGTCAACTGACAGAGACCCCGCTGTGTTCAGCCTCTGCTGCTCCTTTCTGGGTGTGCACCATTGGACCCAGCTCATCTGCCTCCCTGCCAAACTTCCAGTCATGCTAGAGTACATCGTGCACAAAAAGTAGTTGCAATAATGTATCCTGTTTTTCACATATTGAAATTTTTCATGTAGTTTTCTCTCCAGAGCTTGTTGCCTACTTATTTCACGTGCCTAGCTTCCAATCCCTCTGTAAAAATTTGGTTAGTTCCAGAATTTTCTCTCTCATTAGTCTTGCTGCATCCATTTACATGGAGTAAATGGCTAGAGGAAAACTGTACAGAGGGTGCTTATATACTTTCTTTGCCCAAATGCTTAGGCAGGATTCCCTTGG